CCCCACATCCCCTCCGCGCCGTTGTTGGGGGGTGCCGTGGAGCACAGTTCAGATGCCCCCTGCTCCAGTCGCTCCGTGGTGCCTCATGCTCTGAGCTGGCCGAGCTGCCCGTGCCTCCCATGCAGGAGGGAAGGGGCTTCCACCTACGTGCTCGCAGAGGTGCCCCGTGATGGTGGCAGCTCTCGGTGCTGTTCTGCTGCCTCCTGGCCTGCGCTGGAAGGGTATGATTTCCTGTCCGCTCTTTTTTTTTCTCATCTCTCCCTTCGTTCTTTTTCAGAACATGAGTGAAAACTTGAAGGACTGTTTGATCCAGACCCAGGCTTCCTTAGGGGAGATGGTGACAATAAAAACAGAGGCCTGCTCTCCGCGCCGGGACCAGGAGTATGGACACCCTTGGTACGCAGCCCAGCTTCCGCCCGATGGACTCCATCCCCCTTCTCTACACCTCAGCTGGGTTTGAGGGATAGACTTCTAGGTTTTCCGAGTTACGAAACCCTGCCTTGCGAGGTCTGCCTGGAGGTGTGTGACAGGGGTGATCCCTCCTCACACCTGCTCTATGTGCTGCTTCACATCGGCCTTGTGGGGCTGGCACGCATTGAGGGCGACGCCTTGGTGCTGAGCAGCACATTCCCTGGGCTGTGGCAGAGCACTGTGGGACGTGCTGTGTCTGGAGGTGCCTCTAGCTGAAGCCACTCCTTGCTGTAGGCCTTAAGCCACCTTAGGTCTCAGCTTTTGGTGGGTTGGATGGCAAGTTGAATTGTTTCTGTGCTGCTGGTGTGGGGACTAAGGGAGCTGGTCAGGCACTGTTGCCTCTGCTCCTCTCTGTGAGCACTCTCAATGTCTTGGTAGGTTAACGTCCTCTTTCTGCTACTCCCTCCCCAGCTCTGGAAGGCCTGACCCACAGTCCATGGAGGTGGAGCCCAGGAAACTGAAAGGGAAACGGGATTTGATCATGACCAAGAGCTTTCAGCAGGTGGATTTCTGGTGTAAGTGTCTTGTGAGCAGGCGGAAAGCAACAGCACCACTTCTGTAGAGCTGGGTTTTTCCTAGTTGGTGGCCTGCTGTCTTGGGGTGGGAGGCAGGTAAGGAGAATCTTGGGGATGGATTTACACACTCTCCTGAGAAGACAGGGATGTTTGGTGGGGAAGCTGCTGCACAAGAGCAGCTTCTCCATGGTGGAAAACGAGCTGGAAACACAAAACTGCGCATGGTAGAAACCCAGGAGTCTGCAAAACCCTAAGGCTTGGATTCAGAAGCCATGATGGGAGAGTTGCACAGGGGACAACTCTTTATCCCCATGTTCTGGGGAAAAAAAAATGATGCCACTTATGTCCTGGTGCCTCCAAAACCCCAAACCATAGGCCGGAGTCCCTGTCTGGGGGGGAGGGCGGCAGCTGGGGTGCGCTGTCCTGAGCGCTCCGCGCCCTGCGAGCAGCCCGCCCGCCCTGACTCCCTCCCTTGCCCCCACAGTCTGCGAGTCCTGCCAAGAGTACTTTGTGGACGAGTGCCCGAACCACGGGCCCCCCGTGTTCGTGTCGGACACCCCGGTGCCCGTCGGCATCCCCGACCGGGCGGCGCTGACGGTCCCGCCGGGCATGGAGGTGGTGAAGGAGCCCAGCGGGGAGAACGACGTGCGCTGCATGAACGAGGTGATCCCCAGAGGTCACATCTTCGGGCCCTACGAGGGGCAGATCTCCAGCCAGGACAAGTCTGCGGGATTCTTCTCGTGGCTGGTGAGTGACGTGTTTCCTCAGCAAAGTAAAGCCCCAGCTGTGCAGCTCAGAGCTGGGGGACTCGTGGGCCTGCGGGGCCAGACCTTGGCCATCTTCCCCCTCCCCTGAAGATCTTCTCCTGACCCATGTGGGCAGTAGGTGAAGACTGACCTCCCACAATGATTAGCAGCTCAAGGTCAACAGGTAATCACATAGGATAAAGGTGTCCACATGGCCAGCTCTCACCCTCCTAGCCCGCCTTTACAAAGGTCCAGGCTGATGGGGCCCAGGTCGAGGAGAGTCAGGAGGGTCCTTCCCCAACCAGGCAGCTCTGTGAGATACACCCACTCCACAGACAGACTCTCCTCCCTCCCTGCCAGTGGTCCCAGCTTTTATCCCCAAGCAGGACACCTGGCCTTTGGTTACTCAATGCAGGACCCCTGGGGCTCATTTCCCTTATGGCTCCTGCAGGGCCGGCCACACCCTGGAGGGAAGCCAAAAGGCAAACTCAGCACCTCTGTATGAAGGGCTGTGGGAATCACCCATATGTCAACCTTAATTTGGGGCTTGGGGTTCAAACCTCAACAATTCAGCTGGTCACACTTTCCTGTCTGTGAAACAAGTTAATTTCTCAGCCCTGTCCTGAAAGGGAAGTTAATCTCTTATGTCTCAGGACTGTTCAGTTTTGTCAGCTGCACCCAGAGCTGTGTGTTACAGATATTTACACCCAGAGGAACACCTCGTAGCCACCTCAGAGCAGCCTCCACTCCACCTCCAGGACAACAGCCTGGAGTGCAAGGAGAGCTGAGGTTCTTGGCACTGAGTTCCACATGCTGGCTCGGGACTGGAACTGAAATAATGGTCTGAGGGTCGTAGACCTCCTGTCTGGAGTAACTAGTTGATGTTCCACATCTGTCCTCTTGTTCTGCAGATCGTGGATAAGAACAACCGCTACAAGTCCATCGATGGGACAGATGAAACCAAAGCAAACTGGATGAGGTGAGTCCTGTTTGCCTCTGCTCTCCCTTTTGGGGCTCTGCCTACGAGAGACAGGTCGTCAAACACTCCTTGTTGTTGTGTGACAGAAGAACAACCCAAAATGCTGCCACCCCTTCTGTAAAGGCTGTGCTTGCTTGTGCTCCTTTGGTGCTTATTGCAGTGAGACTCCTTCCCAGTTGGATTTGATGAAAGGGACTGAAACAAGGATTTGTGTATGGAGGATGGCTGTTTTCTGGAATGAGGACAAATGATACAGATGATTTGGCTTATCCACTCTTAGAAACACTGACAGGTCTCACTCCATGATTTTATTTATTTTTCTCACCTTATGTTGAAATGTTTGCAAAATGCTTTGCATTATCCCCAAGGTAACACTTAATTCCTTTGGGGTTTTTTTGTCCTTCTCCATTTGACAGACATGGAAGAGGTGCTTTTTTTTTTCTGGGCTTCCCTTGAAACAATGGTCTGTGGTGACTGTCATGGGTTGTGTCAGCTTGGCCGTGTTAGGAGGGACATGGGAGGAAGGCAGAAAGGATGGGTGTGCTTGCACTCCCTCTGCCGGCCCCGGGACTCTGAGCAGGGCAGTATCCTGGGTTTTGGAAGCAGTTGCTGTCATTGTCATGAAGGTATTTCAGACTAAACCAGTGTGGGGGTTAATTGTTGGCTGGGATGTGTAGGGTTTTCAGTTGTCACCCACTGAGGGAAGAGAGGGCATCTGGTACGGGTAGGTGCAAGACTGACCTAGCTGGTCAAATGTGGTAGCACCACTTCTGCTCCATTGGAGTCCTCACAGGGCTAGCAGCTCTTCTGACACTTGGGTTCGTAAACCTCAGCAAAGGATCTCATTTTTCTATAAGAATTCCTGATGTTCCAGTTGTTCACTACTGGATGAGAGAAAATGCTGGACCTAGGCTGAGGCTGGAGCTGTCACTCCAAGGAGAAGCAGAGGTACAGTGGACAGGTAGGTAGGGCACACAGATCGTGAAGTAAAGAATGCCGAGTTCAAAAACTAGAGTGAGGTTTTTCTGCTTAAACCTGGATCTTTGTGTGACTTGGAAGACAGTAAAGCTAGGGGGAAAAAACATGGTCTTGGAAAGTGAAAATCCTACAGTGAACTCTTCTTCCTACTGCCACGAACATGAGCTCGACGTCTGGATTTCAGCTGGCACTCCTCATGGTCCAAGCACCAAAGAACACAATCTTCTTGTCTGATCTTGTGTCTGCCACAGCTGAGTCGAGACACGTGGTCTGGGCATTCCGTGTGGTCTCGGGAGGTGAGGGGGTGATGGTGCTGTGAACAGGGACCTTTGCAGCTCTCCTGGGGAAGTGTGTCTCAAAGAACCTGTGCAGTCTGTACCAGTCCTACAGATCTTTCTGGTTTTACTCTGGAGGATTGCTCCTCAGAGCAGTGTTACATTGACTCCACTCACAGTTCAGGTGGTGGTGCTGGTCCTCGAACAGCCTTGGTTGTGTTTGTTAGCAGGTTCCCAACCGAGGCGCACTTGATACCCTGTGCTAGGCCTGGGCCTGTCACAGAGGTGACCCCAAAAACTGTATCTCCAGGGTGCTGTAGACAGTGCTCCTCTGATGGGCTGCCAGATCTGAGTCCATTTTCACACTCCCACTGAGGACGATGTGTGTGCTGCAGCACTTGCTGGTTTCATCTCAAGTGCCTGTTTACCCAGGGCAGGGGGGCCGGGGAGGAAGGGGTACAAAGCATTTCGGGTGGCACGGCAGTGGCAACAGCCTCCTGCCCTTTCCCTCTCCAGTCAGCCAGTCAGTTGAGACAGGCTCCTGGGAGCACCTTCTCCCTGTTCCTGGTTCCTCAAGAGACCCCGGGGTGCTGGCCTGCAGGGATGTGTGCAGACCTCTTCCTCTGGTTTGTTCTGGGGGCTCAGGGTGACTGGTCACCACGGATCCCAGCAGACCTCAAGGGAAATTGATGCTTTCTCAGCTGCAAAGTGCTGCTGGTGGGAGTTCTTGGGGCTTCATTGTGCAGAGCCGGACGTCGTTCCTTGCTGCCTCTGAGGAAATTCTGTTCATTGGCTGCTGGGGACCTCTTAAAAAAAAACCAATGGATCTGACTGGAGAAAGAACACGATTCAAAGAGGCCAGGAGTCATCCCTCTGTGTGCATACTGCTTGGCCCAGGCTGAGGTGTGGGATGGGAAGTACCTGGTGGTGCCTGGCTGAATTGATGAAGTGCCTCGTGTCAGGAGTTTTCAGGCTAGTTTGGGCATTTCTGGTCGGTGTCCCCTCTTACACATGAATATCTGAGTTCTCAGGCTTTTGGTACAGCTCCAGTTCATCCTTCCCCTCAGCCTACCTGCAAAGGCTGGTGCAAGACTTCGTCACTACTTTCTCCTCTGCCTTCCTCTGTGCTCTCTTTCCCCTCCAAACACAGTAACAAAGAGGTCACGGGGAGCAAGGCTGTTCTCCAGGTTGTCCTGTACCTCCTTATAATGGAGATGTCTGTGATTTGATCTTCATGCAACACCAGACCTTGGCTCCAACAGCCAGCAAAAAGCAGGGTCCAACTTACATCAGTCCATCTTCAAAGTACTGAGCTGCTGTTTCCACTTTGCAGGACCTTTTAAAAGTAAAAATATTTTAAAAGTTGAGGTTAATGTGCCTGCCCATTCGTGCAGGGGGAGTGAAAGACACCAGCCTATGCAGAAGTCATTCTGTTGAATTTCATGAACTGGTCTCTCTTACCTGGCTGCAAGTGGAGCAAATGTTATAACCTGTTACAGAGTGAAACTTAAACAGAGCAGAGGGATTCTGAATTACTGCAGGACTGCGACCCCTGTAAAAGAACCACTTCAGAGCCCTGGGAACAGCTACATGCTCATTGCCTGCAGGCCAAGAAGAGTGGAGGTGGTTGGTGTCTTTGTGGGGTGATGGTGGAGTGCCTGCCCTAACCCTATAGTGTCACATGTGTTGAAAGAAGCAGCTGTCCTGTCTTGCACTTTTGGATTTACCTGGGCTGAGGTGTGAATCTCAGACTCACAGCCATGGCTCCTCTGGAGCTTGCTCAAACCCCCACAGCATCCCCAGAGAGGTGCTCCCAAATGTCAGTGACTGCTCCCAGGACACCCTGCACACTAGAGGGGATGTGTGAGGGGAAGATCGCTCTGACAGCAACGCTGTCTGCGTTTTCATGAGGAGGAGGTTAGTGGGCCTGCTGGGAACCCAGCAGTAATGGAATTTGTGATTAAAACTGGCCAGAACTCATTCCTCTCTGTGTAGCGAGTCTGCTGTTGGAATACTTAAATTATCTTAAGTAGTTTTGACCCAAGTTGTGCTGGAGCCAGTGAGTGGAAACCCTGAAATCTACATATCCAGTTCTACCACAGCTTGTCCTGAGCACCCTCAATGGGAAGAGCAAATGGGGCTCTAGTTCCCTCAGGTGCAGCCTGGCTCGTGACAGCAGCCACGGGTCCAGCAGAGGAGAGGGACACAGCCTGGCTCGTGACAGCAGCCACGGGTCCAGCAGAGGAGAGGGATGCAGGTTTCCTGGTCCCAGTTGTGCCAGCTCTCCCCTGCCCAAGGGCTCCTTGCACAATGCTGTTGCTCCTTGTCACTGGAGCAGCTTATCTGGGGAGGTTTGTTGGCACCAGATGGTGTGATGCTGGTGATACCGTGTGGCTGTGGGTGCCTGCAGAGAGTATTTATGGAGCCCAGGTTTGCTGAGTATGGTAAAAATCAAACTGTAAATGTTCCACGTAGCCCTTTCCCTCCCTCCAGTGTTCAGCTGGGAGAGCAGCTTTCCAGCACCTTTCACACGAGTGCATCTCAGACCACCTCTCTTCTGGGCCACAGTGGCACTGGAAGGCGCTGCCCATCTCTGAGGAGGTGCCAGCAGGGCTGTCACAGACGTGGGGCTCGTGGCAAAACTGCTGAGGCCCCTGCATCTACAGGCTTGGCAGGATGTGTTTTGGGGTGCCTCGAGTATGCCTGCGAGAGGAAGGGCAGTCAGCTAAGACTTCAGGATTAAGCATCATCTTTTTTTAAAAGAGGAGGGTCTGAGCTATGCCAGCCAGAGTTTATCCCACTACCACTGCAAAGATAGTGACAACAGGCCCCAGATAAAAGTAAGCTAGAGATGCTGTCTACTGGCGATAGAATCTTTGGCTTCTTTTCATTTGGGACTATAAGCTGAAAAACTAACACATAATGAAGCCAATAGATTTTCTTTACCATAGTGTCACTACAGAGTTAGAGTTGTGAGGTGTCCTAACCATCAATATGTCTTACTTGTGTATGTTACATCTTAATAGGCTTTTTCAAGGGTCATTTCTAGGCTCGTAGTGACAGTTTGGGGCAGTTTACACTGACAGTGGGTCCTACCCGAGACGAGTGCCGTGGTCTCCGCCGTAACCCCGCGCTGAGCTACGTTTCTGAGAACTTCCCTCTTCAAATAGTTAGAGCTATGTGATGTGAGCACCAAAAAAGGTTCTTCTTTTAAAAACAGAAGTCCCCAACATCCCTGCTTTTTAGGGGTTTGGTGATATGTAGAAGCAGTCTTTACTAGTGTGGGGTGCTGGAATAAGCATTTGGGCATTTCACTCCACTCTGTCTTCACTCCAAATCACAGTGCACGCCACAGTTCCCGACAGTTCTGCTCCATGGCCTCCGAGCTCTTCCACACTGCTCTGCAGGCCTGTACACGGGTCGGGTCACCGCCCAGGCTGCGGGTCACCCCCTGTCCCAAATCCCACCTTGTTTGTGTGCAGGACAGCGTGTTCACAGTCTGTATTCTCCATCCCTACTCAGTAGATCCGTCGCCTTCTGGGGAGTTTTCCCCAAGAAAAAGCCGTACTTAGGACTAATGTTTACTTTTAACGTTTCTTTCAGCTGTGGCTGGAAAAATTAACACCCCCCCCAGCTTTGGACAAATCTGCTTGTTCTCAGGATGGCTGCCTCTTCTCAAGGTGCCAAGGCCACCAGTTGTCCCTTGGAAGCACCAGAAACAGGGCACAGGCTTCTGTCAGTGGCAGTGGCA